CAAATAATTATTTATTTTTTCCGTTATTTATTAATACAATAATATAATATACATCTTATTAGCCACTTCTTATATTAATGGAAAAAAAGATAAATAAAATTGTTATTGAATTATAAAGTATTAATATTAAGATTCAGAAAGATAAGTCGATAAGTCCTAGTGCCAGTAGTTCATTTCGGATAGTCTTTTCTGGATCTTCATTATCATACCACACATAAAAGAGATATATGTCATTTTCATCACATAAACCTCTCTTGACCCGATCCCGCTCTTGTTGTTTAATAAAATTGTTCAGATTCCCTTTATGAAAAAACTTATTATATTTTTTATGTTGCTCACCTTGAATTTCGATTGCAAATCCATAATCATAATAGGGAATATCAAGTTCTAATCCTTTTGGATATTCTGATGTTTTCAAGAAATCAGGTCTACGATTTTTTGATGGTGGTCCTAAATATTTAGTAACGATTTCACGACATAAATTTTCAAGTTTATAAGGACAATATGGACACCATCTTCCTTGTATAATATTGTTAGGCTGAGCCATCCATGTATGTCCTTTGTTACAACGCCATTCTAATTTTGTATGTGTATTATAGTATTCATCTGAAATACAATCTCCATTTTTCGCTCGTGCAAAAGTTTGCATATCTCTTATTGTTCGATTACGCCCAAGACAAATTGGACACCATGTTCCATCTCGAATATTATGAAATCGAGCTCTCCATTGATGTCCTTTAGCACAACTCCATAACATTGGAGTAATATTATTATAATATTCAGTGGAAAGACATTCTCCACCTTTTTTATGAGCAAGTTCTTTGGCAAATTTTAATTTATTTTCAGTTTTACATTTAGAACACCAATCATTGCGATATTTAATATTTAACAGAGGTGCAGACCAAATATGGTTATTAGAACAGCGCCATAACATGTGTATTCTATTATTTTTATACTCAGAAGAGAGACACTCACCTCCATGTTTTTTTGCGATCTCACAAGCTTCAGTTAATGATAATCGATTTGTCATTTAATATTTTAATTTTTTTATTTAAAACGAACTTCAATCCAGTCGATATGAAGCCGATGTGTAATTTAAGTAGATGTGTAATAATAACAAGCAGGATCTATTATCTATACTAGGGATTTTTGTGACCCATAAAACAGGTTGATATATAAAATTAAAGTAAAAAAAGCTATTAATCATCACGAAATAGCA